GGCCACATGGCCTCATCTCCTGGACATATTCAAGACATGTGCGCCGCCACACAATTTAGACAAGGGCACCAGTTTTTTAGTTGTGCATATTTGTTAATAGTTGTACTTTTGGAGTTTCGCTATATTTTTAGGTTTACCTTGTTATGAAAAACAAATTTTCAGTTTTACATGTGATTTTTAGAATTAGAAATACATTTTTATGTTTCCATGTCAAAATATATTGAAGACCACATTTCCTATCAACTTTAGCATAAGAAGGTGTATTGCATTATGAAACCTCTCTTAAAAGTATAAGGTGATTGATAAATTCAAAATATTAAATTGCATAAATCAAATATTTTTTAAATGTCAATTATAGAGAAATAAAATAACTGATTTTGTGTTTTTACTAAGAAATTTCAAAACAAAAAAATAAATATTTATAATTTTTTAATACTAAATACTACTTATTATATGATATGAAACATGTATTTGACTAGTAAAATATTTTTTGTTGCCAAAATACAAATCAATTTTTAAAAAAAATATATTCATTCATCTAATAAATTACTATTTGTTGTTGACAATGTATAAATTGTTTTGACATGAAAATTAAAATAAGTAAAAACAAAATAGTAAAAACTTCTTAGTTGTACCAGTAGTACCCAGTATTATCCATATATCTACTAATCATCAACGATTCAACCACTGTGGGATGTTACGTTGTTTACCCAATGCAATGTTCTAATCGACCTATATACCATCCATTGCAATGTGCATACGAGATAAATAATTGTCTAAATCCAATTGAAACTTAAATTATGATGGCTCAAATTCTTATTTCGAACAAGGAAAATTGATTAATAAACTAACAACTAGTTCGATTTAAGCTAAAAACACGTGTCATTTTAGCTTTAACTACAACTAAAGTGTTTCAATGGTGGATTCGAATTTAGCTTGATAGTATCTATGGAGGAGGAGTCGCGAACAAGAAGAAGATAAAGATCAATTTTTGATTGGTCAATTTTTTTTTTTTTTTAATTTTTGGTTTGGGTTTTTTGGTCTTTTCTATTTTCATTAAAGGTTAGAGGGTTATATTAAGTTATTTTGTGGTGGTGAGGTTTGGTACGAAGGGAAAATGTATTATAAGAAGTTGATCCAAATTAGAAATTAGTCGCACGGACCATAATATAAACACGTTTACTAAAGAAAGATATTTATGGTCATACCGAAAAAAAAAAAGAAGATATTTATGGCAAAAAAAAAAAATGGAAGAAGAAAGATATTTACAAGAACAAAAATATCTAGCTATTTGTATAGTAATTGTTCAGATATTATTGTGCCCATTTGCATCATTAGACATGGTAGAAAAAGAAACACGTCGTTCTTTCAATTAAAATAATTTTAAAATTTATTAAGGAATTATAAAAGAACTATTACTCGTCGATGCTATGCGAAATACGAGGTTTCTTTCCTTTTTAACACCTTCTTCTTGTACAATGGGATTTGTGATATGACCGATCTTTCCGACACAAAAGTCCATCTTCTCTCTCC